TGGGCGTGTGGACTGGAATGTAGGTGTGAAGTTTACCAAGCCACCCAGAGAAACACATTTGGCACAGGATGGATCATCTGACATCTGCCCAGCTGAAAGCCTTTCTTGTAGACCTAAACTTAGGAGGTCCAAGTGAAGCACCTTAGCCAAAACCAATGGCCACGTTGCCACTGTATGACGACTTCGTGTAAATTAGAAATTGGTGCCCTGTCCTCAACACACTGCACCTCCGTGTGTCAGAAGCTGGTCCTAATCCATTGATTTTGCTATAGAACAAGGTCCTCACGGCAACCTGCTGGAACATCATCATAACAAACGTACAAACGTAGATGTCTACAGCGTGTGTGCCTCACCTACCCCTGAGGTCTTGTAGCGCACAGCCTGCACATTTGCACTGGTCCTGCCAGCAGCGGCACAGTTAGTGACTGAGCCCACATCCCCCTCCCAAGAGAGGCTTGGCTTGATTCACTCGCCCATGTGTGTTCTTTAGACCTTTTATCACACTCCGGCCATCCCTCCTCATTACCATGCTCTGCCGCATGGCACAGCTATGGATCCCCTGGCAGCACGTGGCCACCTAGCCAGCTAACGGCACCAGGCATCGCCTTCCTGCCCACAGGGTTTTCATTTCCTCCCATGGTGCATTTATGCCATGTGTGTGGCGGTTCTTCTGGAGGGCTTGTTTCTGTTCTCTTGGCCACACGCATTGGCCTCCAGATCCACTGGGGAAAGGCAGCATGAGCAGAGCAGTTGCTGTTGTGGCTTTCTTAAAAGTAGGGACTTAGGTGTCCACAGGGGCCCTGCAGTCATGTAATGAGTAACACTGGCAGAGTGTGTCTCAATTTGGGAGTGTGGTGTTTGCATGTTAAGCTAATAGAAATGGTCTTCACTTCCAAGCTCTCCTGTTTTTAGTGAAATGTAGCCCTCTCAGTCTAGAAAAGCAAGCCCACGAGTGGGTTGATAAATGGTCATGGATACCCCGCCTCAGTGTCAGGGAGCAGTTGTCTGGGCGGGCAACTTGGAGAGTACAGGCCTCCTCCACTCAGCACCACCTGCCGGTGGCTCGGTGGAAACATAGGCTCCAAACACTCCAATTCTTTAAGAGAGGGCCAAGATGCGGGGTTTTATGTGAACTCTCCAGGCTTTTCCATTGTGAACTAATTCAATTTTATAAACATCCTGTAAGTTAGATAACACCTGTCTCCTGCCTGTAGGCCACCAGCTTGGTAGCCCCTGCTCTGACTCATAGAGGAGAAACCTCAGTTGTGTTACACAATCCCCCCTTCTCCAGAACTTTCCTCATCAGACCTGGACACACCTACTCTATTTAAAAGTCCCCACTGCCTTACCTTCCAGCCCCACCACCCACTCAGATGTGGCCAGCACCCACTGGAAGGGCTGGGGTGGCATAGACTGGTGACTCTGGAGAGTTGGCACAATTCCTTGAGTCCCACCTCTGTGTCACATGGGGCGCTCAGGGATGTCAAAAGGGGTCCCTCAGAGATGTCAGGCACAGCTCGTCTCCCTCTTTACTGTCCATGGAGCATACCTGGCGTGGATCTGAACGCTGGTGGCCACACTGGGTGAGTTACCCCAGTAACTCTGATGGTTTGGTTATTAAAACGTTAGAGCCCAGTGGCCATGGCTTGATTTGGACACAAGGGGGCATCAAAAGACTGGTATTCGATCTGTTTGGTATCCTGGGCTTTTGTTCTGTGTTTCTTATTCGCATTGAAGACTGTGCTTTGCAGTTGTTAGTCTAAAGTCCCTCGCAGGTATAGGTGAATTTGCAGTAGAACTCTGCATTTCAGAATTGGCAGGGCCTTAGAGATGCTCTGGGCCAACCCTGTCCTCTGGTCCTGTCCAAAGCAGAACTGAAGCCAGAAGGGTTCAATTCTCAGTTACAGTCAGATGTCAGTGACAGAGCCAGGCCTGGGAGCAGGCCTCCATCCCGGGCCAGGGGTCTCCATGTCAGCAGTTTGAAGTACAGGTAGCAGAGGGACACCACTCTTGTTTTTACCTTCCCAAGGGCATATAATCCTCACACAACAAGACTCCTTTCCAAAAGGCAGTAGGGTACAACAGGAAATGCATCAGAGACAGGCAGCCCTATTCCTCCTGCAACTTTCTTAGAAGGTAACATGGGGCTGATGAAGCACAACTGAGATTGAAGCCCACCCAGCCTGCCTTAAGCACCTGCCATTAGCAGGCTACAAACCAAGTGCTTTCACACACAGCATTCAGTTTAACCCATGAAACCACAAGCGTGACTACTAACATGGTTTACGTCAATTCCAAGTCATGGTGACCCCACGTATGCAGAGCAGAACTGCTCCATACATTTTCAAAGCTGTGACCTTTTGGAAGCAGATTGCCAGGTCTGTCTTCTGAGTTGCCTCTGGGTGGGTTCGAACCACCAACCTTTCAGATAGTAGTTCAGCACTCAGCCATTTGCTCTGCATAGGACTTGTGCTCATGTGGTGGTTATGTCATCGAGTCAGTGCCAACTCAGAGAGATGTTGAGAGATGCAGGGGAGATAGAGTTCTCAGGCAGGATGGAGTAAGGCCTACCAACAAACAGGAACATGTTAGGATTCTCCACCCTCCCCTACCCAGTGCTGAGACAGCTGCCTGAAATTTAGGCAGAGTCACTGCTCTCACAGCTTCAGGGGACGTCCCTTTTTGTCTTTCTTTACATCTGACTCCATGGGCATAGAAGTGCTTTTTAGGCGTGTGCCCACAAAGCCACACTCCTGTTCCTGCAGGGGACTTGGTTGCTCACCAGCTTGAGAGCCTGACCCAAGTCTGCCTCGGAGCCACCGTAGGCTAAGCCTTCGGATCACTGGGTGAGCAGGTGACAAGTGATCAGCACTTGTCCCAATAGGCCCTCCAGAGAGAGCTCAGCTGCTGTGACAAGGTGGCCAGCCTGGCAGGCAGCGATGCGATAGAGACCGTCTACTGTCAGCGGAAACCTGACC